TTATGGAAAAGTTAAAGAGTGATGGTATTTCTGCTGAGATCATTGGAAAAGTAACTGCCGCACCCTCAATAGAGTTAAAAGTTGATGGAGTAACTCACTTGAATGAGAGTACTTCTTTCCTAAGGGACCTGTGGGAGGAAACTAGTTTTCAGCTGGAAAAGTTTCAAAGATTGGCTTCTTGTGTGGATTCAGAGAAAGAAGGGTTGAAAGATAGGCATGAGCCTTCATGGGGATTGTCTTTCACTCCTTCTTTCACAGATGAAAAGTACATGACCATAGCTTGCAAACCAAAAGTGGCTGTAATTCGAGAAGAAGGCAGCAATGGGGACAGAGAAATGGCTGCGGCATTTTATGCATCTGGTTTTGAACCGTGGGATGTCACAATGTCAGACCTCCTTAATGGAGTCATATCACTTGATGAATTCCGTGGAATTGTGTTTGTTGGAGGTTTTAGCTATGCTGATGTGCTTGATTCTGCAAAAGGTTGGTCTGCATCAATTCGATTTAATCAGCCCCTTCTAAATCAATTTCAGGAGTTCTACAAGCGCCCAGACACTTTCAGTCTTGGTGTTTGCAATGGATGCCAGCTTATGGCTCTTTTGGGGTGGGTTCCGGGTCCTCAGATTGGAGGTGTGCTTGGTGGTGGTGGGGACCCTTCACAACCGAGGTTCATTCACAATGAGTCGGGACGATTTGAATGCCGATTCACCAGTGTGACAATAAAGGACTCACCGGCTATAATGTTCAGAGGAATGGAGGGCAGTACATTGGGTGTGTGGGCTGCCCATGGTGAGGGAAGAGCATATTTCCCTGATGATGGTGTTCTTGATCGTATGCTTCATTCAAAGTTGGCACCAGTAAGATATTGTGACGATGATGGTAATGAGACAGAACTTTACCCTTTTAACCTCAATGGCTCTCCTTTGGGAGTTGCAGCTATTTGTTCCCCTGATGGAAGGCATCTTGCCATGATGCCTCATCCAGAGCGTTGCTTCTTAATGTGGCAATTTCCTTGGTATCCCAAGCAGTGGAATGTGGACAAGAAAGGCCCTAGTCCATGGTTGCGGATGTTCCAGAATGCCAGGGAGTGGTGTTCTTGATAATTTTTCAGTGTCCTTTCTCTCAAGAAAATGGTTAGTGGTTCAGTGTTCTTCATGAGAGTTCTGCTTTATTGTATTCGGAAACCGTATGTATTGTGTTACTTGTAGACTATGCTCTGTGAAACAGGCATTTGAATTTTCCTGTCTGTCTGATGATTTTGTTTTGAAGTGAACCTTCTTTTTTTGGCCAATGATTTTGATTTAGTTAAAATACCAAATAAAGATGAAAAGTTTTGATTATACTGATCTCTCTCACTTACCGAAATCTTGATATTATTTTAAATTGCTATATATTTTATGTTAATTATTTGATTTTCCTTATTCCCTAGTCTGCTGTATCTCATCCACATGAAGTGCATTGACTTGGCTTCCTGATGGTTTAAGGGAGAAGTTGATTGAAAAAGAATAACAAAGAACTGGGTTTCAGGGAATGTGTGAATGCATTCTGTTTCAACATCATGCCCTTAGGTTGTATAGTGATGAAATTATGGCCCAAGCGTATTGGCTTGCCTTCCTGATGGTTTAAGGGAGAAGTTAATTGAAAAAGAAAAACAAAGAACTGTCTTTCAGGGATTGCATGAATGCATTCTTTTTAAACATCATGCCCTTAAGTTGTAGTGATGAAATTATGGCCCAACAAGCTAGAGAACAGAGTGAAAATATAGAGACTAGTTTCTTGAAGCTGGTTTGCAAGAGAAAAAATCAGACCCTAGTGGTCTGGGAATTATTCTAAATTTTTCTGTTCATGGAAAAGCTTTGTACGAAACTGTTTTAAGTGTTTTACATGCATTTAGTCCTGTTATTTGGTTATTATTTTAGTTGTTTGAACTTTAGAAATATATATATTATCAAAGTATCTGTGGTGGCAGATGCATTTGGAGGGGAATGTGAAAATGGATATAAGAATTGTTTTTACAAGTGCAACTTTACCAAAATTTCATTAAAAGTCCTTTACTTTCTTGGTAATTATATAAAATCCCATTTACCTAACATTATACACCATTTAAGTCATGTCCTAGGTGTCAGTGCATAACAATATGAATGGGATGAATGCTTGGTGTTTTAGCACACACGTTCAGGCTATGCAGTTTTCAATGGAATTTTTCCTGGGAGGTTTTATAGAAGTTGGTCATTATGTTTATCTGTGGTTTCATTTCTAGCATCTTCAATAAAACACATTCTTTTTCTTTTTATTCAGCAATCTTTCCAGTAAAAATTTGTGAGGAAACAAATTGTGCAATACATCTGCTTAGAGGGATTTTCTTTATGTTAATTGTGTTGTGTTTGTAATCATTTTAAAAATTAGAAATGATGTATCAGTATCACTGTGTTCTTGTAAATGTTGAATTGTTGTGATTTGCAAACTGAAATGTACTGGAAAATCTCGATCAAGCATGGTATTCTATGTTAATCTTTTGTTAGATTACATTGCCAGAAGGAAGAAATGCTTGATTACAATTTGGAACTTGTAAGTAGGTATTTTATCCACCCAACTCAATTATGTAGCAAAAATACAGCACTTGTACTGTATTTTCTTGTGCTGAAGAATATTATACCAGCATCTTTTTTCTGGATACTGGGAATGTCTGAACAGTTTGTGAAAATATAGTAAGCGTCATGATCAGATAATTCACATTTATGCTTAGCACATGAGTTTGAATCACCTTCTTCGTCAATTTTTAAGCTATAAGGATCTAAGTGAAAATAGAACCAAGCTATAGCGGTAAAATTATAATCAAACTTTTACCATTGTGTAAATCTTTCCCATCCCATCCCATATAACTTTGAGATAAAACTGATGTGAAAATTTGTTGTGTGGCCTTGCAAGAAGAAGAAAGAGTTCAAAATTCCTACCTCTCACTTTCCAGTATTATGAGCAAATTGTCAATGCTGTCAACATCAGGTACTCACAAAGGTCTATTGAGATGTGTATTTAAATAGCGTATCATTGAATTAAAATAGGTGGCCTGGTCCTAGGATTTTTGTGCCTACCCACACACACACTCTCTGTGTGCAATAATAGAACTCCTATGATTTTTATATCAGACAAAGTATCCGACAAGGCATACTTGCCCAATAAGTATAAACGCACCTTTTTAAAAAAAATTATTTTAAATATTGTTAAATATCCTTTAACACCCTACCCCCCAGCCCTCTATTGAAAGACAGGTATATTATTAGTACCATGTGTATCCAGTTTCTTCGTAAACACATATCTTAACCATGTGTGGTTGTGAGTTTTGAGTTGTTTGTTGCCTACCCAATTTTCAAAGAACAATACTAATACTAAATGCATCATATAAAAGTTGTATAATTTTGTCTCAACTATATCTATATGACTCTTTCATTTGTTCTTATTTGTTTCAATTATGGAACTTATTTATTCTTAATTAAGATATATCATTTTTTTAATACAAGCGATATTAAAGGAGATAGAGAATTGAACCTAAGACCTCAGATTAGAGGTGTCAAACGGGACGGGCCGGGATCAAAAAATGAGGTCCAATGGGCCGGGCCGGCCCATGGCCCGAGCACGCTTCAAGCATGGCACGAGCCCAAGCACGGCCCACTTAACATTTTTTTCTTTCTCAAAAGTCAAAATGCAATAATTTGACATCTAATGTCATTATTTATATGTTTTTTTAAAATCATAAATATATATTTGATGTCTTTCATTTTAGGGAAATTACTTGGGTCCTTAATTAATTAAACATATCAATTACAAATTAATTAAACAACATTGGACTTGATATCTAATTAGTATATATGACATATATGCTTATCTTATAATCAAAGTAAGACATTATTTCACATATAAAATAATAAGTTGTTTAAAGATGAAAAGTTGAAGTGGACTTTGTAGGGTTTGACACTTTTTGCCATCCGTCATTTCATATTGTTTGGATGTTTGATTGATTAATGTTTTCAAATAGTTCATTATTCATTGCCTCTAATTATATTTTTAATGTTTATAATTTGAATTATCTAGTGGAAAAAAAAATGAAGTGAAAAAAATTCAAATTAAATGGATTAGTTCTTGTGCCCGAGTATGGCACGAGCACGAGCCCGGCCCGGCCCTTTTCAATATGGACATGGGCTTTGGGCTGAGCCGGAATCAATGATTTTACTAAATGGGCCGGCACGGCACGGCCTGATAAATTAAATGGATCGGCTCGGCTCGACACGAAAACGTTAAAAGCACGAGTTTAGATGGGATTGCCCGGCCCGACACGGCCCGTATGACACCTTTATCTTAGATGCACAAATAAATGCTCTTAATCACTTAAACTACAAACGCCTTATTAAGATTCATATGTCTATACTATTATATAAGCAACAAAGCGAAACATCAATAACGACTAATTAATCTCAATTATATGCATCTGTATCGTTTTAATATTAATATTATTAAAAAAGAAAAAGAAAAAAGAAATCGAATTTGAAACCTCGTGTCGTTTTGTGGTTTATTTCACAGAAATGCTTGCAAGATATCTTTAATTGTTTATATGGTTAGCATTTAGCCTTTCGGTGCAAACTTCAGGTTGTCAGTTCAGTCGAGCTTCAAACAAAGACGGCCCTCGAAAATGGAAATATCCAAACCGACAATTTGCCCTCCACTTCCATCCAATCATAATTTGCCATCAGGTTCCCGGCTTGCATCCACATCCATGGCATTTTCATAAATTCAACAAAAAAGCAAGGGCATTTCCGTCTCTCCACTTCTCTTCCCTCTCGCCCCACACTCCACTTTCCCAACTGACTTCACACCTGACGTTCCCGCGGCCAAAGAAAACCGCCACCTTCTCTCTCCTTTTCACCACAATCATTTCTAGAGAGAGAAACTCCGATTACAGTTCTAGAGAGAGAAAGTTCCAGAGCTCTACATAGATAAATAGAGAGAGAGAGAGAGGGGGGGGCCGGCATGCCAGCACCAGAAGCAGACCGGCACCGAGCCAGGACCCGACCCGCGGTCCGAACCCGAGTCCCGCTCCGGCAGCTCCTCCGGGTCGCGTCGGTTGCATGCGGAATTCAATTCGGGTGGGCTCTCCAGCTCTCGCTCCTGACCCCCTACGTTCAAGAGCTCGGAATCCCTCACGCTTGGGCCAGCGTCATATGGTTGTGTGGGCCCTTATCGGGCCTCGTGGTCCAGCCCCTGGTGGGCCACATGAGCGACCGGTGCAACAGCCGCTTCGGTCGCCGGCGGCCCTTCATAGTCGTCGGAGCTGCCTGCATCGCCGTCGCCGTTCTCATCATCGGATACTCCGCCGATATCGGGTACTTGCTCGGCGATCGAGGCGGCGGAGTCAGGCCCAGAGCCATTGGCGTGTTCGTGTTCGGGTTTTGGATTCTGGACGTGGCCAATAATGTGACTCAGGGTCCTTGCAGAGCTCTCCTCGCTGATCTCACTGGTACGATCCTTCAATTTGAGTCTTTTTCTCTTTTTCTTTCTCGTTCTTGTAATTTTAGGAACTTCAATTTTGATATTTATCGTTCTTGTTTAGTCAACTTATAGTAAATTTGAGAAAGAATTTTAAAGAAATTTGTGGCTGTTATATTTTGCATGATTGTTAATTACAAATTAATATTTTGTGAAAAATGCCGTTGAAAACTCATAAATTATATCCTGTGGTGAAAAATGAGAAGCAATCATGTATCTCATTCAGATCCAGTAGTGATATTAAATGGTTCTCCATTATTCATTTGAGTAATTGTGTTTTTGATTGGACCTGTTCTTAAAAGTTAATATGAATACATTAACCTCTGTGTGCTATAGCAAGCCTGAGATTTTGATCTGGCTGTGCAAATTATAACTCAAGATCCACTAATGCTTATGGATTTTTTAGGTTGTTTTATGTCCATAGGGTAGCTATAAGCCTTAGGGTGTAGTATTTAGTATGCATATTTTAATAGAATACATAATAATAATGGTCACAATTGTATTTCTATTCGCCTATGCGCTAGATGAACAGACCTCCACGACAACTATTAATTAGAGACTGTGTCTGCAAAGGCTAGAATTTTGATTGCTAGCCAAGGTCATAATTCCCAAAAGACTATGAAGGCAGGAGTCTGTAATTAATGAATTCCAAATTGCTGCAAAGAAACCATGTCCTGATTACCTTTGCTTGTACCCCTGAAAGTAGACCACCATTATTTGATTTCACAGAATGGATAATGCCTACGTGAATAGAGATTTATTGATAAATTGCTATCTAACGTTCTCTATGTGATATTCACAATGAAAGGAACAACTAGAGATTGTTGATGCATGGATCATGCTTGATTCTTTTGAGGAGCATTAATTAGCAACCTGCAAGCTTAATGTGCTGAAAGATCGGACTTTCAAAATTAACAACCAGTAACACTTATCTTTTTCATATTTTCTCTTTTGTTAGCAAAGGATTATCGAAGAACTCGAGTGGCAAATGCTTATTTCTCTCTGTTTATGGCGGTTGGTAATGTTCTTGGCTATGCAACTGGATCATTCAGTTACTTGTACAAGGTTTTTCCATTTTCAATTACTCCTGCATGCAATATTAACTGTGCAAATCTCAAGTCTGCTTTCTTGGTCGACATTGCCTTCATTGTAATTACTACGTGTGTAAGCATATCAGCAGCTCAGGAATTACCTCTGAGTTCAAGCAACAGTACTACACCCTTTTCTGAGGAAGGGCCAGGACAGTCGAGCCATGCTGAAGAAGCTTTTCTCTGGGAACTTTTTGGGACTTTTAGATATTTCTCAGGGTCTATATGGATAATCCTACTAGTTATTGCTCTAAACTGGATCGGGTGGTTTCCATTTCTTCTCTTTGATACCGATTGGATGGGTCGAGAGATTTATGGTGGCAAGCCAAATGAAGGGTTAAATTATAATACAGGTGTTAGAATGGGTGCTCTTGGTCTGATGTTGAACTCAGTTGTTCTTGGTATAACTTCGGTGCTTATGGAGAAGCTTTGCAGGAAATGGGGGGCTGGTTTCGTGTGGGGGATTTCAAACTTTCTCATGACTCTTTGCTTTCTTACAATGCTTGTTATTACATATGTGAACAAGGGTATTGGCATTGTGGGCCATGATTCGCCTCCAGATGGCATTGTGATAGCCGCACTGGTTGTTTTTGCAATTCTTGGTGTTCCATTGGCGGTAAGCTTACTTAGCTCGTTGAATGCAATGCATGCCTATTTGGCAATGTTTGATTAGCTGTTAGAAGGCATACACGGTTAAAGTTTTACAGGGGAGGAATGAGAATGATACGGGAGGAACATGGGAAGTAGACCTTTTAAGAGGGGCGCATCCTTTTTCTTTGCTACAATAAAATAACTTGTGGGAAAAACAGTTGGAACTATATTTAATCCATGTTTACGAACTTTAATGAGCAGACTAATGGTGAGAAAAAGAATCATGTTTATTTTATGATTGTTAGTTGAGAGTAAAAAAATATCAAGGATTTAAATCAGAACAAATAAGGCTTGATCTTCATTCATTTGACCTATCGAGCAAGAAATTTTTGTTTAAGAAAAGGTCCCCTTTGGTTTTTTTTGGTTTTTGAACTTTTTGGGAGCATTGGAAGTATATAATGCTTAGAGAATGTCCTTTTCACTGCACAATGATTATGGGACTGACTATGCTTTGTGTGTGGACTCAGTTTATGAATCCAATTTACATTGCCTGAATATTTTTGCAGATCACATACAGTGTTCCATACGCCTTGATTTCTTCTCGTATCGAGTCTTTGGGACTTGGCCAAGGTGGGCATATCTGTAACAGAAGTTGGTGTGGTTACAAAATGTTCATTGGATTTTTAGTTGGACTTCTTAAATTGATGCTTGGTTCTTGCAGGGTTATCAATGGGTGTACTGAATCTGGCAATAGTAATCCCACAGGTAGGGACACTCTTTTTTCCTTTCAGCAATGCATGCACATGCTTCTGTGCGGGTACTATATGAACATGAAATACGTAATGGTATGAGGTTATTTTACACTTCTGCAGTCGTCAACCCAAAATTAAGAGATACATGCACATATGTTGACAACTGAGTATTGTCCTAACTATTTGGGGTCGGCTATATGAATCCTAATCCCCGTCCTGTCTTGTCATTGGCTGCACTTTCATTCAAGTCATATGTTATGATATCTTTCCTAAGCATTGGTACCTACCTACGTTATAGTTGCTCTTCCTCTCCCCGTAGCACTACCTTCTGTGTGTGTGTGTGTGTGTGTGTGTATATACACTTACATATGTGCGTAAATGCATATAGTTGCTCTTCCTTTCCAGACTCTGAATAAGGATTGCATGTCAAAAAAGTTTGGGCCTGATAAATAGTTCAGATTGAAAATCTGCATAATTTTCCATACTGTCCGGCAACAAAACATTCCAAATGTGTGCGTTGGTTTGAGCCTAGGTATTGGTGAAATTTTGTATCAGCATTACATTGAAGTTCTGTTGGATATTTTTTGTTTAAGAATTGAATATTCAAACTCAAGCCTTTTTAACTCTGAAAAAAAAAGCAACACCATTTCATGAACATGGCCACGGAATATCACTTTGAAACTCTGCACCCTTACATTGTACTATTGTGTGAAACAATGTTGGAATTTTTGTCTACTATGTGATGTAGTACAGTCCCTAGGTATTAGATTAAGCACTTAAACAATAGAACAAAGAAGAATATAAGAGATCGAGCCATAGACGTCCCCAGAGAAGATGATGGAAGGCCCAGGTGGCCTGGGAACTTGGGATCCATAGACGGATGGGGAAGGAGACCAGCCTGTGGGGAAGGTGTGAACGAACCGGATAGAACAGCGGATGTGGAGGATGGCTCAGGAGTCGAGGTTGTGATGTGGTTGACAAGCAGCATCACTGAAGCTTGTAACTTGGCAATGTCTGGACATGGACGAAAATTCAGTCTTTTGATCAGCCATCAATTTGATGACCTGATTTTCCAATTTGGTGACATCCGCAAAAATTTTTTCCTTGAATTCCTTATGTTGTTCAGCCAAATTGGCAACAGTGATGTTGGGAGCCATGATGACAAGTAGAGGCAATGAAGCAGAGTAACAGCGGCGGAGCAAGAGGCTCTGAATACCAATTGATGTAGTACAGCCCGTATGTATTAGATTAAGCATTTAAACAATAGAACAGAGGAGAATATAAGAGATTGAGGAGAAGAAAATATACATTGAAAGACGAAAGAAACGGCAGAACAGTAGAACAAGAAGAATATCAGAGATCGAGGAGAAGAAAATATAGATCGAAGGGACGAAAGAAAGTGCAGAAATCAGAGAGTTCTAGAAAATGTTTACTCAACATTGAAATCTGAATTTTAAAGAACTACATGGGGGTATTTATAGCAAACTAAAACCTAGAAATAATAGGATAAAAATCCATTGCTTAAACATAAATCCTAACCCAAATAAAATAGGAAACATAAAACTAGAAATCTGGAAATCTGGAAAAGTAGAAATCCTACTAGAAATTGGAAAACTAGAGAATCTAGGAAACTAATAAATTTAGGTCATACCCGTCCTGCATCGCTATGACATTTTGGGAGCAAATCTTTCTGAACTAACACCACCCACGAAACGAAACCCCTCATACTGCTGCAAGGATGTGATGGTTCTGGTATAGGTTAGTGCCTTATGCAAGCATTGAAGCCTGAACTGAAGAGCATGCGTTGAAAAGACTCTTATTTGTGCATTCGTTTTTTTTTTTTCTTCAAGACTTTCCCTTATTAGATCAATTACTCAATTGTTTAGTTGTTTTTTATTAAGTCAATACCACTGGATTGAACTCCCTTGCAGTTCTTTGTGAATAACAAGTCATTTGGCAATATGGTTCTTATAAAATTACATCTATTATCTTTTGTACAACCGACTTTGGTCATGGATATTTGGTTTTTGTGAACAGGTGGTGGTATCCCTGGGAAGTGGACCATGGGATCAGCTATTTGGTGGTGGAAACTCTCCAGCCTTTGTCGTGGCAGCAGTTGCAGCCTTAGCCGCAGGGCTGCTGGCCATCTTGGCTATTCCGCGGTCTGCTCCTCAGAAGCCCAGAGCTTTCACATGAGGTATTTTGTTGTATCTACTATCTGCTAAACTTTTCTGTCCAAAAGATGGTAAAATCTCAATAAGTAATAAAAAATTGTAAATAGATGTTTTGTTGCTATTGATTAATATAGTCAATTAGTTGAGTTTTCTTTTGTCCTGGAAATTTGTTGCTTTCCGTTTTTCCCTTTAGATATGCAAATAATTGAAAGTCCTGGCAGCAATTATATGGATGTTGAGCTCAACTTCCACTTGAAGTGCTTCCATTCAGCAAATTGTACATCAGAGCTTCTTCAATATATATAATTCCTATTTGAAATTGAGGACCGTCTCCTGCTGAGCACTTGATGAAATCCCTTTGTCAGAATCATAATTTTGTTTAGACATTGGGAGTCCATTTGCAATGGGTGATGTTAGACCTCTCGTTTTTAGAAGTGTGATGGGAAACAAGTTAGTCATAAAGCGATAATCTTTCGCAGACGCTGGCAAGTACATTGATGTAATAGCTGTCACTAGTGCCTGATGAGACAAGTTATCTACAATTAGTGGAGAATTTCTTCAATGAAAATCAGTCCCATCTGCTGGATTGTGGCAAATTGCCATGGAAAAGTAGGTGAAGCCTCAGCTGTAGATTCTGAAATTGCTCCTAGACTAGTTCCCTACCAACCAAAGATATGTTTCCGCTGTTTGAGAATTATTCCTCATGAAAATATCGTAATTCTCTTTCTAGGCAAAGTTGATTGTGCGATGGTGGTTTGATTGTGAGGTATTGGAATCTCATGCGTTTTTATGCATGAATTTGTTGTATGAATATGGCGAAATGTTCTTGGTGGCCAACAGTGAATATGTGAATTGTACTGATTAAAACCTTGATAGAGACATGTCTTTTATTCGCTGATTTTAAAATTTTTTTGTTGGAAAGATTGGGTCATTCCTTTGATGGGTTTATGTTTTTTCTGTTATGTTTTTTTTGTTTATTTATTTTTATAATTTAAGTTTCTTTTCTACTTTGTATCCGAACCTTGGAATAAATTCTTGCCTTCATTGCTTTTATCAGTATCTATGGAACTTGTTTGCTTTGAGTGTTCCCATGCAATGTTTTCTAATCGGGCCTCTGAGAAGTGTTTGAAAAAAGAATAAAAATATCCGTCTCTTGGGTGAATTTTTTGGAAATCTAGCCAACTTTTGGACATGTTAAATTTAGCCAATTTATTTTTCTGTCTTTTAGAATTACAACCATTCACAGGAGGTTCGGGCGGTGTCTCGAGGGGGCACAAGCATTGCTTGATGTGAGTTGAGTGGCTATATTTATAAATCTTCAACGGCGAATTGTCTGTGTTTTAGCTATATTACAGCAAATGGAGGCATGGGTGGAAAAAGGGAGAGAATTATGTTCCCATACTAGCATATTAGTAAGATCATTGAACTAGGTTGAGGAATGTCTGCAGAATCTAATTGGAAAGCATGGTGGGTTTTTGCTCATAAAATACTAAGCACACACATAAACATATGGCACAACTTTCACTGTAGATGATGTTACTTGCATTTCTGCTATAGATGAGATTTAAGCATATCAGACTTTTCCAGGAACGGAAAGGGAGAAGCTTTTGATGAGAGGGATAGAATCAGTGAATTTGTTCGATTTTTAGAGGAATATAATCTTTATTAATGTCAAATCCCAACAGGTCCTGTCATTACAAAAATCCTCTTCCCAAACTTGCATTGGTATTTGTATATAAAAATTCTGGGTCTTGCTTGCTTGCTGTAGCCCCACTAGAAGCACAAGTTGGTGCAAACTGTGTTTGATTGATGACGGTACAAACTTGTCACTACCATTTCTTATTGCTGCAAAATTGGTGGAATTTGCATTTTTGGGAGACCCACTTTCCCATTTAAGATGCCAAAATTCGAAATGGGATTTTTTTTTTGCATTTGGATAAAGATGGTTGCAATAGCCATTTGCCTATAAATAACCATTCGTGCATAAATAATGCAACCCAAAAAAGAAAATGACCCGTGAGTCATTTTAAATGTGTGACAGAAGAATATGACAAAAACCATAATAACAAAAATAATAGTTTCTATGTATGATGGTTCTGTAAATGAAGCTCTATGGATTTTTGGATTTTTTTTTTTTTTTTTTTTTTTTTTTTTTTTTTTTTGGGCACTTATTTTGGTCCATTGGTTTTGTTGCCTGGGTACACATGGAATCTGACATGGGCGGGTTATGGGTTTCAGGGAAGTAATAAAATCTCAAAATGCATGGAAACAAATGAAATCTGATGCCTCTCTCTCTCTCTCTCTCTCTCAAATGGAGGGAGGGAGGGAAAAGGTTGAACTTGCTCTCTGATTCACTGCTTGTTTGGGCTGGTGGTATCTGGCAGAGGGCAGAGAGCAGCAAACAGAAGCAGAAACAGAAACAGAAACAGAAACAGAAAGAGCCAAAGCTCTCTCTGTTGCGCGAAAAGGATACAAATTAAATGGTTGTAAGTGGAGCACGTAATTGTCTCTCAGTGTTCCCTTTCTCCCATCTGCCTCTTCTCCACACAGCCATCTCCTACTGTTTGTGTCATCATCCCATTCAAATCCCTTCTCAGTGGTCCCATTCCATGACGAAACACCTACCCATCAAACACATAAACAATTCAATGAAACCCTGTTCTTTTTTTAAATAATCAACATGCTAAAAAGGTGCATTAGATTTGCCACATTTTCCTCACTTGGACAGAACCCTACCCATTAACCAAAACCCACAAACCACTTGTTTAGTTAATTAGGTTAAAGCCCCCATGTACTAGCTATCTAGGCAAAAAAATTATTTGGTGCTCTCAATCTTATTGGTGGGAGATACCTTTGGCCCTTTTCAAATCTCTCTATTTCTTCTTGTTACGTCCTAAACCAGCAACCTCATCTTTCTAGATGGCTTGGGTTTTGAGTGCACGAAAAAAGTTTGATCAACATCTCTGCATCCAGATATCCCTTGGTAATTTATGACCTAAAAAGAACCACACATTAGAAAATGACTGGTTTCTGTTATCTTTCATTTTTTATTTTTTTATTTTATTTTTTATACAAGTGATAATATACTTTAAACTAATTTAACTACGGAAAGGAGGATTCGAACTCGGTGGCAGAGTGGAGAGCACAAACGATCTAACCAACTTGACTATGCCCATGTCAGTTTTTTCTTTCTTTCTTTTTAATTTTATTACTAAAGTGATTTTTATATGCGATTAGGATCTTAACAAATCTCTAAACGGATCATAGTTTCAAAGCCACTTTCAAGAGATACAAAACTCCACCACTAGTTATATTATAATAGCAATATCAATTTAGATTTACCTAAAAAACCATGCCTCACTTTCATTCCTCCTTTATAGCTAGCACAGCTAGCACAAGTAGGAGAGGCCTAGAAAGAACACTAAAAAGAGGATTTGCATGAGTTTTGGTACCTCTCAAATGGAGTTAACTAGTCACTAGCTAATGATGTCTTTGGTGTTGTTCATGAAGTGGGTTGAAGAAGACAGCAAAGAGTAGTGGTCAGAGTGGGTTTTGGTTACATGGGTTTTGCACTTTGCACCAAGTTGGAAAATGCATGGCCAAAAAGCTCAAACATGCAAACATGTTTCCTGCCCACAAGTTAGCTAACGGTTATTACCCATTTGTGAAGAAAAACAATATGCAAAACCAACTTATATAGGCTCTTGTCATTTCTCAAGCAAACAAAGGGCCTTTAGCAAATTTCTTGACCAGTTGCTTCCACTTGGCATTCTAAAAAGATAAACTTGTTTGTAGGTGGATATCAGGCGAACCAGGAGGAGTGGTGTGGCGGGGGGGGGGGGGGGGGGGTGGTTTAAAAAAGATTATCCACTTAAGCAAGGAAGTTAAACTATGTATGAAGTTAAACCCACCATTGAGAAAGAGCCAAAATGGGCCACTATTATCATCAAACCAAAATCATTATATTTTTGTATGGCGGTTAAAAATAAATACCAACATCTCCAATCACCTTTCTGGGTTTTCACTTGCCTCATTTTTTTAAGTTCCTCCACTCAAATCTAAACTTTCATACAATTATAAGAGCATAAAATGAAGTGACTAAACCTAATACTGGAGAGAGAGAGAGAGAGAGAGAGAGAGAGGGGGAAGAGAGAGAGAGAGAGAGAGACGGTGAGATGAATGGAAAGTCGGCCCCCCTCCCGAAACCTCCCCATGAGCATTTCCTTTTTCCTTTTTATCTTTTTGGCTTGAATCCTTCAAATGAAAGCATTTTTGGGGATTACACTTTTCCCTTGAGTGTTCTCTCTCTTGGATATCTTGACACGTTCCTACAAGAAAGAGTGCGGCCCAGTTCCTTCCATGTATAAAACCCTCCTCACCCTACCCTTCACACATTCAAATCGTCCCAACAAAAACAAGAACCCCAAACGCACACTGCAGCAGGCACAAAGCCAAAGCAGAAAAAAAAAACAGAAAAAAGAAAAGCAGAGGTCCTAATTTTTCTCACTTCCTCATTACATTCTCTATCAAAACTTAATCAGCTTTGCAAGATATCATGTGCAACCCAAAGCCCTCTTCCCCTTCCTCATTTCTCTCTTCCAACAAAACCCATTTCATCATGAACTCCAACAAAACCATGGACCTCCACGCTGCAGCTGATGATGATGATCAAGAGCTTCATAGATGGCCTACTCTTTCTGAGGTACATAAAAACAAAAATCCAACAATCATTTTCATGATACAGAACAAATCATTTTTAAAACAGTAACAATCATTTAATAATAGAGCTCATGTTTTAAATTTAACTTCATCTTTGCTTTCTTTTTTGCTTCATTTTTTTAGGCTTTACAAGAAATCAAGGCCATAGGGAAGATCTCTGGTCCAACCACCATCACAGGTCTGCTTTTGTACTCAAGAGCCATGATCTCCATGCTTTTCCTTGGCTATCTTGGTGAGCTTGAGCTTGCTGGTGGCTCTCTCTCAATTGGGTTTGCCAACATCACTGGTTACTCTGTCATCTCAGGCCTTGCCATGGGAATGGAACCCATCTGTGGACAAGCTTATGGAGCCAAGCAAATGAAGCTTCTTGGCCTAACCCTTCAAAGAACTGTCCTTCTCTTGCTCTCGACCTCCATTCCCATCTCCTTCATGTGGCTTAACATGAAAAGAGTCCTCCTTTGGTGTGGCCAAGATGAAGAGATTTCATCTGTGGCTCATACTTTCATTCTCTTCTCCATTCCTGACCTCTTCTTTCTCTCACTTCTTCACCCCCTAAGAATTTATCTGCGCACCCAAAACATCACATTACCATTGACTTACTGTTCAGCCATCTCTGTTGTCCTTCATGTCCCTCTAAATTTCCTCCTTGTGGTCAAATTCAACATGGGGATTTCAGGGGTTGCCATAGCCATGGTTTGGTTTAATCTCAACCTCTTCATCTTGCTCTCTTCCTTCACATATTTCTCCAATGTTTATAAGGACTCCTGGGTTTGCCCGAGCACCGATTGCATCCGAGGCTGGTCTTCTTTGCTAGCTCTGGCAATTCCAACTTGCATCTCTGTTTGCCTGGAATGGTGGTGGTACGAGCTCATGATAATGCTGTGTGGGCTACTAGCCAACCCGAAAGCCACCATTGCTTCAATGGGGATACTAATCCAAACCACTGCTCTTGTCTATGTGTTTCCATCATCTCTAAGCCTCGGCGTCTCCACAAGAGTTGGGAATGAATTGGGGGCGAATCGAGCTGCAAAAGCCCGCATTTCCACGATCGTCTCTCTCGCTTGCGCGGTGGCCTTAGGCCTGTTAGCCATGTTGTTCACAACACTCATGAGGCACCAATGGGGGAGGTTCTTCACCAGCGACCCTGAAATCCTTGAGCTCACGGCCATTGCATTGCCAATAGTAGGGCTTTGTGAGCTGGGGAACTGCCCACAAACCACAGGCTGTGGTGTTTTGAGGGGAAGTGCTAGGCCTACCATTGGAGCCAACATCAATTTGGGGTCTTTCTACTTGGTTGGCATGCCTGTGGCCATGCTCATGGGGTTTGTGGTCAAAATGGGGTTTGCAGGGCTCTGGCTTGGATTGCTTGCAGCTCAAGGCTCTTGTGCCTTGCTCATGTTTTATGTTCTTCGCACAACAGATTGGAATGCTCAAGTGAAAAGAGCAAGAGAGCTCACCCAAGCTTCTGCTTCTAGTTCTACAACTCCTCCAATATTACCAATATCTTCTTCACCACCAGGGTCTAAAAATTCTAAGGAACCCAGCAAGAAGCTGCAGGTTGAAGATGATGATGATGAGGTTGTGAAGTCAGCAGAGACACTTGAAACTGACCCTCTGATCATATGAAATCATCTGCTAAAAATTAACAGTATATTACTGTGCATTAATCATCAGAGCTAATTTAAGTCACACTAGTTTCACCATTTTTGTATTCCCCTCTTGAGGAACTTGATGTGAAAATTAATTTATCAGAGTTCCATTAATCCAACACCACTGAATCTTCTTTTATTTTATCTCTTATTATATATTCTAGCCCTTTTTATTCCCTTTTCTTTTTTCTTAGTTGTATTAAACATTGTACTATGTAGAGTAAAAATATTTAAATTAGTTTTCCTTTTGTTGGTCATGCATGTTTTGAGAGAGATGAGAGAGAGAGAGAGAGAGAGAGAGAGAGAGAGAGAGATAGAGAGAGAAAATGGTTTGATTGTCGGTTGTTCCTGAGCCGCAGCAAAGAGGATCTTTGCACCTTTCTTCTTGGTGTATTCCCAATAAGGCAAAAACTTTGCTGCCTAAAAAGGGAAATTAGCATCTTTCACACTCATTATTACTTATATTTTTCCTATGCAGATTCTATACTTCATTACCAAAATATAGTTGTTTAGAGAGATCTAATTAAATATAAACATACTATATATATAAATATATATATATATAAGCAGAATATCTAACGTGTCTTGTTTATTTTATGCGTTGAGAGTTTATCCCACATTGAAAAATGAAAACGGTACATAATAGTTGAAAAGATCTTGAGCATCTTCATGGGTTGAAGTTCACATCTAATAATATTACCTTTAAGAAAACATGGAAGTATAGAATATTCATTTTCTAAGAAGAAGAAAGAAAGTTGAAATTAGTTTTCATTTCCAAAGTCACAAACTCTTAAAGGCTTTTGGAAAATTGTATTTATTCACTTTACCATTTAAAATAAAAAAGGAGATTTATTGGTATACTTTTTCTTTTAAACAAAACATAAGCAGGGTCTTAAAATATTAGAATCTTTCAAAAAGGATTAAATGTATAAGTTAAATTTACAGTAATCTGATCTCATAATTCATTTTCTCTTGTTACAGTCTGCTTCAGATCATTTTTAGAACATGCAAAAATCTTTTCATGCATGCATCTTAATCTTTTATATATTTTTTGCTTCTTTGTTTGTTTGCTTTTTGTTTGTTTTGTTTTTTCTATTTTCAATTTAAAACACTCTCTATCATAAGTGATTGTAACTCAGCACCACTTTGCTTATAGCATCATTGTTTATGCCAAAAACTCAATCATCATGAAGAAATTACACAAAGGATACAAGGAAACAAAAACCTTAGCATAACAAGAGAGAGAGAGAGAGAGAGAGAGATGTAAAATGATGACAATAATTGGTAGTAGAGAAGTATGGGGTGCATTGGATGGGGTGTGGGGGGGCCCCAGATTCTAATTGAAGAAACAAAATCCAGCTATTATTGCCTCTGTCTACTTCTCAGATGACAAAAATTTGGTACAGTGGCTCTGCATTACCAGTTTCCCACTCCCCACAACCCATCATAATCCTGCCTAGCTACCTTCCTTCCATCTGCTTTTCAAAAAATAAAAACAAAAATCAAACAAGCTTGGAAACAAACATGGGGAATGCTAGCAACCTTCTTTCTAACCTTCTCCTTTGGACCTTCTCCATTTTCCTCATGACATGTGTCACTTTCCTTCACTTAAAACAATGTAACTAATGCATCAAACAAGCTAACATTTGTTTTCCAAGTTTACCCTTATTAAATGTTTTGTCATTCAATTTGTTCAAAAATAATTGTACAACTCTCTTACCATATGTAAACAATTAAATAATAAAAAATGTCAGTTAAAAAAAAAATGTCTATCTTTTTCAGAGATAAAAATTCTATTTTTTTAAACACAAAAGAATGACCTAAAAATACACTCAATAGAAAGATCACATTTTTATACAAAAAAAAGACTTCCTTCAAAAGGAAGTTCATTAATTGCATTTTTTTATACTACTAAATAAAGTTAAAGAGAATTTTCAGTGACAACTAAATATATATATATATATATAACCCCAAATAATCAGATTCCATAGGAAGTTCATAGTTTTATTTATATTTATTTATATCCCTTGCTGCCTTTGGAGTCTGATTATTTGAAAAAACAAAATCCTAAAATTTTGGCATACCAAATTTTATATTTAAACCAATGTCTCTCCTACTCCCTTTGGAATCTTTCAGGCAACAAAAAATAAAACTAACGTTTTTTCTTATTTAATTTTTAAGTCTTATTAAAGAAAATGGATAAATTAAAGAAAACAGTAAAATCAATATATTTAATAAGGGTAAAATTGGAAAACTAATGATGGCTTGTTTGATGCATTAATTACATTATTTTAAGTGTAAGGAAATGGACACATGTCATGAAGAAAGTGGAGAAGGTCCAAAAGAGAAGGTTGAAAAGAAGGTTGCTAGCATTCCCCAACAAACATTATGGATTAAGAACAATTCCAGTTAAATTGATTTCCATATTTTAATTCATGTCTTCAACATAGAAACATGCACGCAAAGACAAGGGAGAGATCTTGTGAGGACAGTATAGGGAAGGGAAAACCCCATTTGCTAATGATTAATTGGGATTAGAATCCTTACAAAAGCATCTTTATATTTATGAAATGAGCTTCTTCAAATCAAAATCGATTTTAGAACTCATTTGAGATTACTTTTATAGGAAGCACTTTTGTTCATAAGCGTTTTTTTTTAAAACTATAAAACGTTGAGAACTTTTTTTTTACTATAAAACACTTGAAAGTACTTCCTGAAAAAAGCACATACTAAGTGCTTATTCAAAAAGCGCTTTTATGATCTATAAGCATTTTTATACTTTTTTGTCCTAAACCCTAAACCCTAAATCATGAACCATGAACAAAGCTTCCAGCAACGATCCCTTCCAACAACACCCCAATTTGCTAATGATTTGAAGTGGCGCACATAAGGCCATAAAAAATATTTGTTATCTTTTTGTCTAGGTTTTTGGTATGGCAATTTCCAGCAGCTAGTGCTTGCAGCCACTTCTCATCATCAGCTTTCCTCTTATCTTGTTTCTATAGAATAAACTTCTCTATCTATCTAGCCATCCTAGTATTACTCCACCAACATCATGCACTTTGTGGCAAGCACTTGTCTTTATAATGGGTGGTATATATATCTTAGATTTCGTAGTGGGAATTAATAACCCCCAAATTGGGTTGCAAATTACAGGTTGTGTTGCAAGCTGGAAAATCATATTCTGTCTTTTTCTTTTTCTTTATTTTTTAAAAATTAATCTTTTAGGTCATTGTGAAACTTCATTTTCAGTACGTGCATCTTTGCTCAGATACCCACAAAATAAAACTTATTATTTTCCTGTTTTTGGGGAAGATACCGACATGATTTAACTTGGTAAAGTGTACTTTTATATGTATATTTGGCAACCACAATGCATGGTTTATTTAAACCTAACATGAAATAGTGGGATTAAAATAATGACCAAAAACAGATCAAATTTGGACAAAATAAGTATTGATCATCCATGACGTTTGATTTCGTGGAACTTGATACTCCTAAAAAAATATGCTGATTGTGCCATTTTCATTTGTTCAAGTAAATTGGAAGAAAAAAATAAAATCTGATAGCAATAGAAAACGAAAGTAGAATTTATGTTCGTCTGTTCCCAACCACTCGGTACTTGTACCAACAGATGCGCGGATTATCACAAACATGACCTCGTCAGGATGGCCGAGTGGTCTAAGGCGCCAGACTCAAGTTCTGGTCCTCTAACGAGGGCGTGGGTTCAAATCCCACTTCTGACATTTCACTTGTATTTTTTGTGTTTTTTAATATACATATATTTTAGAAAGAAAAAGAGGAAAGATTAGATGGGTTCCAATCCAAGGGCATTATATCAATCATAAAATTTTACAAACAATAATGCAATAGTATTTAATTTAGGGTTTTTATCACAAATGGTCTTTAAATTTTTTACAAGTCCTTATTTGAGTTCTTTAACTTTTAAATTAATCAATATGATCCTTAATCAACTTTAAAAGGGTACCCAAGACACAAAATAAAGCTCACGCATTTTACTTAACAAGGCTATTTGCTCTCGTTGATGGGACTCTAAATGTGAAACCCTAAATGGAGATAATATGGTGTTATTGAGTAAAATATGTGTTGTATTTAAATGACAATATCTCTTTAAAGTTGGGATCACGTAATAATATATGTAACCAATTTTATCAAAAGTTTTGTCAGAATGCGATAATAAAGACTAAATTGATGTGTAGACCAAAAAATAAAATTGATTTAGAAGTTTGAAAATTAAAATGAAGACTTTTAAAAGTTCCAAGCACCACTTTGTGATAAAAATCCTTTAATTTATTCATATCTTCTCAATTAGTCTGTGTTTGAACCTCGTTGACCTTTCATGCATGTTTGTGTTATTTTATTTTATATTGATGTCAAAACTAATCAGCCGTGTTCAATTTGACTCGCATATACAATGAATAAGAACTTGAAAGTAAGTCTGAATTCTTTCTTAGTCGAGACAATATTTGATGACAGTATGAAAACATGTAAAATTTATCTGTATATAAACCACAAATTGTAAATGATGAATTCTTGACTCAGCACACATGTTATAATTTGTGTTGACTAAACATCGTGGCGCATAATAATTTATTATTCAGATGGTATGTCTAAATAAAATCATACATTTGTCAAAATCATAAGTAGCCACCTGGATGTCCAAGTAATATAATGAATAATAAAAGAATTTATATAATCCTAAGAGCATCTCAGGTAAGCCTAGGTCCATTATCTCTAGACTAGTTTTGAATTCACATTAAACATGATCCACAAAAATTATGGGTAGATAACAGAATCACAGTTTGACACATGTGTAAAATAATTTATTAAAAATAGAAGAAAAAAAAAAATCTATGCACACATATCACACTGCTATTGACAAAAATGTATGAAGTTCTACTTATCTGATAAAAAGAGAAATATTTTCTTTAAATTAATGGCTAGCTATTGGATAGCATGTCATTGACCTAAAAAAGCAGAGGCATTCCACCTCAAATAAGGCATGCATTCCACCTCGCTTTAGCGACACTTGTGGAAGGGCCTATATTATTAGGGTTTTCTTTACACTCTTAGCAGACATCTCACTGCTTGACCTTAGGGTGTTCTAGGCTTCGTTTTTTAAATGGAAGGGACTTGTAATT